TATATAATTATATATGTATTAATAATTATAATTATATTTATAAATAACAAAAAATATTCTCATTACTATAAACCTTGTGAGTTGCTCCCACACCTGACACCCCAGCCTACACCGTGCATCCGAGGACTGAATCTCAGTTTTAACCCTCTAGCTGCCCTTTTGCACCAGCCCCAGCCCATTCCCACCCCCATTTTACCAGGGTCAGGTCTCACCATCTAGTTGACATTCACGGATAACATAAAAGCAGTCGCCAGCTTGTTCCTGGCAAGGGATGCAAAAGTCTTGTGTCCACAGAAGCCATCGCAGGTGGTGGGAGCACCCGGCCACGGCTCTACTCACTTTGAGTTGCATTTCTTGGCCCAGGGCTGGCGGAGACTGCCCGGCGTGGCCCTGGCCTCCACCTTGGAGCTGGGTTGGAGGGGGCCAACCCCCACAGTCCAGGGAGGCCTCAACACTTTTTTTTCCAGAGGTCCCTGGGCCAGGGTCAGCTGTGGGTGGGGGACAGCAGTGCCCTGCACGGTTGGACATTCTGAGCCCTGAACCCCTCCTCCATTTTCTCCCATGGGTGGGACCCCTTTGTGGACAGAGAGCTGTACTCAGCATGTTTATTGCTGTAGCTTTGACAACAAATAATCATAATAACAGAGATAGTTACAATCATGATGAGTGACAGTGAAAAAAATAACTTCAGGCCTGGCGTAGTGGCTCACGCCTGTAATCCTAGCACTTTGAGAGGCGGAGGTGGCCAGTTCTCTTGAGTCCAGGAGTTCGAGACCAGCCTGGGCAACATGGTGAAACCCCGTCTCTATAAAAAATTTTAAAATTAGTCGGCCGTGATGGCATGTGCCAATGGTCCCAGCTACTCAGAAGCTGAGGCGGGAGGATCGCTTAAGGACAGGAGGCTGCAGTGAGCCATGGTCGCGCCACTGCACTCCAGGGTGACTGTTACTCTGGGCGACGGAGCAAGACCCTGTCTCTAAAAAAATAAAAATAACTGTTCACATGTTTATTTGTTTTTCACATGAACTTATCATTTATAACCTCTACAATTTATATTTCATGTTATAGAAGACTGTATTACAATTTATGTGATTTCATATTTACAGATAAATATTTCTAATAACAATAACATTTTTCCCATAAACCTTGGGCCCAACCCACCTGAGGAGTGATTCTCTGCTTTGTCCCCGCTGCCAGTCTGGGTCCCTGTGGGCCCCTACCTAGGTTGGCCCTGGCCTCTCGTCTAAGGCGGGAGCTGGACAACTGGTCGACCCAGCAGCTCGAGGTCTTGAGCTAGTCCACTGTCTCAATGGGCTGTCCCTCGGCTAGAGTCTAATGGGGATCCCTGGCCTAAGGCAGGCAGGGGCCCATCGATGTGAGTCTTTGGGGGCGGATGGGCTACAGAAGAGAGACCAAGCCTGGCAGACTGCTGGTCAACCCTGAGGATGCAGGGGCTATCCATCCATCTCTGCTGTCCCCACCACTCCCCAACTTTGTCCTAGCCCAGGGTGCATCCTGGCAGGGTGACGAGGAGGCAGCGCATTGAGTTGGGTTGCCAGGAGGCTACCTGATCACTGCCGCCCCACAGTGTGGCTCTGGGTCCGAAGTCCTGGGGATTGAGAGGGATAGATGCACAGATGCTTGGAGACTCCACGTGGGTGGACAAACCCTGGTGTCCAGGACTGACTTTCAATGGATTGCAGCCAGGGAGCCGTTCTGCTGCTTAGGAAATCCAGAGGCGGGTCTTTTACAAACTAACATCAGTTTCCCCAGGAACCTGAGTTTGCTGACGAGCGAGGGGTGGGTGCCTCTTTCTGGCAGTGCCCCTTTTCCCAGTAGGGACTCTATACGCAGATGGACCTAAGCGCAGGAGGAGGATGCCGTGCACCCAGGGTGCACCGCGCTGCCCTGGGAGGGGAATGTCTGGGACGAGATATCCAAGGTCAGTCACGCCTCCTATGCACCGCTCTATCTTCTTCCTGCCTTAAGGTCACCCCGATGGTAACTTTGCCCCATTGGTTACTCAGACAAGCAGACACCAAAAGCCTGAGCCTGCAGTTCCTTTGTTAGGGAGCAGGATTGCCATGGCAACAGTACATCTCCTGTAGGAGTCTAAATGTTCCCGTGGTGTAAACCCAGCTCAAATGTTCCCTCCCACAGGGACTGGGAGCAAGAGTTGTCTCCCTGAATGGATTTCAAAAAGCCGGCTCTTGGGTTCTTGAGAAAACAGCTCTGGGTGGTCGCTTTGCATCTCAAAGGGCAAAGAATGTATAATTGCAACCTCTCTAAAGTAACTATTCTAAGAGAGAGTCCGGGGGGCCTATCTGCCTATCACCTGGTTTGGTCTGGAATGAATTTTGGTGGCATGGGGCTTTCTCAGGCAGGCGTTTTAAGCGGGACTGGGGTCATGACCTTAAGCCGCTGGTAGCCAAGCTAGAGTTTGGTCAGGTCTCTTAGTGCAGTGATTTGGATGGAGCCATTATGTGCCAAGAGGTCTGCAGTTTTCTGCCAGCTCCTTCCTTTTCTGCAAACTCAGTCTGAGTTTCCATTTTATTCTGTGACCCTTTCTCTACAGCCTCTTCACAGAGAAGTGGCACCACTGCATTTTTAAAAAGATGGTTACTCCTTTTATAGCTAGTATCGGAAAGTCTTGTTGTGATGTGCACTGCCCCCAAACACTGAGCTGAGGAAGCTGTTCGTGATGGTTAATATTAGGTGTCAACTTGGTTGCGTTGAAGGATGCCTAGATAGCTGGCGGTGTTTCTGGGTGTGTCTGTGAGGCTGTTGCCAGAGGAGATTAACATCTGAGTCAGTGGATCGGGAGAGAAAGACCCACCCTCAAGCTGGGTAGGCACCAGCGAGGCTAGAACAAAGTAGGCGGAAGGTGGGATAAGCTGGCTTGCTGAGTCTTCTGGATTTTCTCTTTCTCCTGTGCGGGATACTTCCTGCCTTTGGACGTCAGACTCCAGGTTGTCCGGCCTTTGAACTCTTGGACTTACACCAGTGGTTGGTCATGGGCTGTTGGGTCTTTGGTCACAGACTGAAGGCTGCACTGTTGGCCTCCCCGCTTTTGAGGCTTTTGGACTTGGACTGAGCCACTGCGGGCTTCCTTCTTCCTCGGCTTGCAGACGGCCTGCTGTGGAGCTTCACCTTCTGATCATGTGAGCTAATTCTCCTTAACAAACTCCCTTTCATATATACATCGATCCAATAGTTCTGTCCCTCTGGAGAACCCTAATACAGTGTTAGAAAACCAAAAGGTGAGAGTGTTTAATTTGGGAGGTTTTAGGTGACAGCACATCCCATGATTAAAAAAAGGATTGCTTATATATCTGTAATAAACTCATATTACACTAATAAACACCGCAAAACAAGCTAGTTGATATTTTTGAGATCAGATGTCTCTTAAACATCTTATTGATTTTAATATAGCTATAAAAAGGATCTTTATTTAGAAAAGATTTCTAAGACCTTTTACAGAGTAACTGCAAAACTTCTTAGCTCTTTCATTCTTAAATACTCCCTTGAAACACATTTTATTGACGTTTGCTATATTATTTCATGAAGAGCAAAAGGAAAATAAAATTAGTCTAACTAAAAAGAAAATCTAGCCTAATAGCTAATATTGGCCAGCACTAACTACACTCAAGGCCCCCTCCCAAGCATTTCACAGGGAGCAACATTTCATCCTCCCAACAACCAGCGAGGGGAGGACCATTCAGCTCCGTTTTCAGACAAAGAGCTTGACGCACACAGAAGTTACCTTGTCCACGGTCACATAGCAAGTAAAGGGCAGGGCAAAGCCAGGATGCAAAGCCACACAAGGCCACCTGGCTCCAAAACCCCTGGGTAGAAACCAGTGGGCCACCCTGGCACAGCAGCAGGGCCTTCCTGGGGCCAAACAGCAGTGGGGAGGCTGCTCGGCTCACCTCGCCTCTCACCTCCACTTCCTGTCCTGGGCTTTTTCAGCAGCCCTGAGCACCTCTCCTTCAGGGGACTGTCAGTGGGGAGAGGTCAGGCTCAAGTTCATTTTTACATAAATGTTTTTGGTGTTAAAACTTCCCGAATGAGGCTAGGTATGGTGGTTCGTGCCTGTTGTCCCAACACTTTCAGAGGCTGAGGTGGGAGGACTGCTGGAGGCCAGATGTTTGAGACCAGCCTGGGTAACATGGTGAGACCCTGTCTCCACATAAAATTAAAAACAAATGGCTGGGCATGGTGGTGTATGCTTGTAGTCCCAGCTACTTGGGAGGCTGAGGCAGGAGGATTGCTTGAGGCCAGGAGTTTGAGGCTGCAGTGAGTGAGGATCGTGCCACTGCACTCTAACCTGGGTGTAGAGTGAGACCTTGTTTCTAAAAAACAGACCACCTGAATGAAAACGTCTAATATTATGTTGACATGTAATACTGACCAAAGCCTAACTATGAAAAATAAAATCTTAAGATCATGGAAGACATATGTCTTTTAAGTATCTGTATTAGTCAAATTCATTACTCACTTCAATTATGCTGGATTTTCCCCCTTGCTATATGCTTAGAAAAGAAGAAAAATGCACCCCTGTTCAAAAACTCATAAGAATCAAAAGAAATGTTTAAAAACTTCAAATTTTAGGATGATTTTTATTTACAAAACAGATTGGGTCTTTGTTTTACAAAAATTACAAAAAATGACTCTTAAAAATAGAGATAGCTTCTCAGACTCTTGGGAACTACTTTTAAGCAACCAAGGAGTTAGAACTCAGCTGGTTTTCTTCTTTGTAACAGCAACAGTGACCGTGGCTGGGTGCCACGTCAATCACTGCTGGGTATCTTCTCCTAAAATCACACAGGCCCGAGCTGTGTCTGGTGGACAGGTCTCCACTCAGGTCAGAGTCTGAAGGAGCAAGATCTTCTCGTTAATGCAGAATCTGTGCAGAACCACCATCAGATTCTCTCCACAGCGGGAGACCTGGCGCTCCATGGCCAGGCGAAAGTCCTCCTTCACGCCTTTGGTGATGCCTCGAGTTACCGTGTGGTGCCTGAGGTCAGCAATAGGGAAACAGACAGAGACCAGGGGTTAGCACTGGCATCACTGATCGCTGCTACTTGGCTAGGAATAGAGCCTGCCCCATATCTAAGTATAAGTTAAGATATTTTAAAAAGAACACAAGAATAGCTGCAACCAACCAAACATTCCAGCCCATTCCTTTTCAGAAAGACTTAAAACTAGACAGACATCTTTCCCACTCTATAAAAGGTTATTTCAAACATTTAACTGTTCAGTGAAATGCCACCTGCTTTGCCTTTGAATCAATGAAACTCTGGTGTTATGCATCCCTACTGCTGACTGGTACACAATTCAGTTACTTAGGGCCAAATGGTGTCCAGTCCATACTGGCTACAAAGAGCTCGTGTCCAGCCAGGCCAGCAGACCCTCCAGAGGCAGCAGCAAGGAGGAGGGAGACCTGAATGAGCCAATCACCCAAGTGAGCTCCCACCATGGCCCCCGCAGCTGGTGCTCCCAGAAAGGTTCAGGGCTCCTGCATAGCTGGGTCACGAGCACATCTCTCTCCCCAGGACACCAGAACAGGGCAGCTCCTCTAAATGCCGTGCCCATCTAGACTCTCATATGTTGGAGAAAACGCAGGGGGAACTGGGGTCCTGACACGAGAATGTGGCACAGGTCGGGAGAGAGAGGCAGAATCTCTGAGGGGCAGAGGCAGTGGACTGCGTGGTCCTATGCTGTCCGGGCGCTCAGGGGAGACCTGCACATGTGTGGAAGGGGTGGTGGGGACACAGGCAAAAAAGGTCTCTAACTACGCCCCAAAAGTTGTACTTTAGAAAAAGAAATCACACATGAAATCCCAGGAAACAGAAGAAACAAAATGAAGAAAGGAAAAGAAAAATCTAGCAAAAATCAGTCAGCTCAGTTAAGAGGAAGGGAGTTGTACCTACTAGTTCAGCAATTTGGTAGACTCAGACAAATAAAAGTCACCTCTGTTTCCCACCCTGCTGCTAATTTCCCTCACACAAAGTTATAAGGATTGAAACTGAAGACTTTTTATGTTCTGGGCAAGATAAAAGTGTTGAAATTACTCTAAAATGTTTCTGTTTTGAAAAACTTGTATTAATTATCATATCAAATATGGACAACAGGAGTCACCAAGTTGTAAAACGACAGATGAAAAAAAAAAATCCAGCTTTGTTAGATAAGTAAAGCTATTACAGAACCTTCTAATGCCCGTGGATGTTTTAAAGATCTACAGAGGAAAACAGCAGGGCCGTGGGGTTAATGCGCAGTTCTTTGTGACTGTCTCTCGTCAGGTCTGGGTGGGTAGCTCAGTAGTTAGGACATAGCGTCAGTGAGGTCCCACTGGGATAGATGCAAACCATTTTACGCTGCCCTGAGATACTGCTCGTCTGGGTCCCAGGCTGCAGCCTCAAATCGGGGCTGACCCTCTGACCATGTGGAAGTTACTGGCATTTGCAGACAGTTAGCTAAAGGGGAAACCCTCCTTTTTTTTTTCTTTTTTTAGATGGCATCTTGCTCTGTCACCCAGGCTGAAGTGTAGTGGCATGATCTCAGCTCACTGTAACCTCTGCCTCCTGGGTTCAAGCAATTCTTGTGCCTCAGCCTCCCGAGCAGCTGGGATTACAGGCACATGCCACCAGGCCTGGCTAATAAACCCTGCTTTTAATACCACTAAAAATATAACTAAATGCTACATTCTGCCAATCAGGGTCCAGTTGTATTATCTCCATATATAAAGAGTGGCACAATTCAATTATATTTCTATTAGAGCCACTATGATGAAAAAGAGAATGAGTAAGCTTTTGTGGTTTAAGAATAGGATAAACCAGCTAATAAATGTGGCATTTTAGCCTATCAAATATTTTCAATTCAGAAAGGTAAGGTCTCAAAAAACATCAGTAGCAGGAAAAAAACCATATTAGTGCCTATTTAGATACCAGGCAACTAATTGCTAATATGACCATTACGACTGGTCACTCGTATGAATATCCACAAGTAAAAATGTACTTAAAATAAATGTCAGCATCCTTAAATGTATATGACCAAAAGCCTTAACGTTTTATCAAAAGAGAATCATAGTGCACCTAAGCTAATGTGCACGTAATTGAATACAGTTTCAAATAGCTTTCATTTTTTTTCTAGATCCATAATGATTTTTAAATCGAACACAAACACACTGGCAACTTATGGAAAAAATAAGAAATGTTACAATATTACAACCAGATGGTTTGCCAAAATGCAGAACAAATTAAAAAATAAAGAAAGCATGAAAAAGAGCACTGAGGAACAAAGAGCTGAGAACCATGGGCAGTGAACATGTTGACAAACAGCACACTATGAGCGGGCGTTTATTCCACTTGGTACCTGTCAGCAGTCTGTATGCTGGGCTGAAGCACAGGTAAGAATTCCTGCTGCAGCAACCCCATGGGAGGGCTAGAAGGCCTTTAAAAAACAGCAAACAGCAGCATTCAAACACCCACACCGACTCACCCTGCACTGCAAAAACAACACTCCAGAGAAAATACACAAGACTGGAAGCAGACTAAACAGAAACTCGTTAACCTCAACAAGCCCCTGGCCGTGGCTGGGTGTTTAAGGAGACTGGGGAGAAGCTAGCCAGCCCTCACTGCACCCGCTGCTGCTGGTGCGTGTCCAGAGGCGTCTCAGTTCCTGGTCCCAGAGCTCAGCCCCCTTTGGAGGTGGTATAAAAAGCGACCAGTGAGGAAGAGGACGATGGAATGCAGCTGAATGGCAACAGGGAGTAGGGGCAGCCTTTGAGAAGACACATTTTCAAAGCCAGCCTCTTTACTTTCCACTCTTCTCACGGTACACCAGTCCCAGCATTCAACCTGGTGATGTCTGGTAACCATCTTTAACAGGATTGAAGCCCCACCGGAGAGGCCCTTCCAAGAGGACTAAATGGTCTGGCAATGTTTTTGATTAAAAAAAAAAAAAAAGGGTGAGTTTGAATTTCAAAAACATATTGAGAACAGATGGGGGAAAGTAAGAGTCCGGGACCCATGGCTGTGCAGAATTCTGTAACAACAAAGATTTAGTATATTAGCTGGTGATCACCTCATAGAACATTATTATCCACCCTATTCAGAGTATAAGTAGGACATTGTTTTCCATTTTAATCCACTCTAATACAACTAGGATACTGCATTAATCAGCACAGAAACATTTCTCTATTTTAAAATACTTAAGAGCAAAAGGTCTGTATAACAGAGTAAGAGCTTCTCCCTCCTTCGAGTGAAGCACCGGGTGCCTTCAGTGTTGGTACTGTACCTGCTTGCATCCCAGATGCCACAGCTAGGGCAGACTCACAGCCTTACCCCCGGGGAGAAGTGTACACTGCTCACAACATCTCTGCCACTCGTCTGGAGGGACCACCCAAAAGGTCTGTAATGGCTTCAGAGAACTTGTTTGGAACCCAAAGGGAAAAGGAATTGAGATTGTTTAATGAAGAGTCCAACCATTCCTCGGTGAGGAGGAGCTCTCTGCCTTAAGCAGTGTGCTTTCTACCATGTTAATTTAGGCATAAGTAATTAACCTTGAGATTCACACAGTGAAGACTCTGGGCAAATCCCTAAACGGTCAGATCACTACGGAATAATCCCTATTCCTGCTTCCAAACTGATGAAACTGCAGCCTTCCTAAGAGGCTTGTCTTCTCTAGAAAGTTACAAGAAATTAACGGTCATATTGATCAAGGTGGCAGAGCCTGGAGTTATCCCTCACTAGTTAGAAGTGCATGATGGGTATCCTTTACACAAACAGCTCCAAACACTCTTCCCTGTGATACTAGCTGGTACCCAACACTCCCTTGCTCTCATTCCCCATCCTAGGGTTCCTCCACATGGACTTATGTCACTCTTCAGCTCAGTAAAAACTGGTAAAAGAAGAAAGGTTCAGTACAATGAAGTCTGAGGTTCAACTGTTGATTTTTTGACAATCCGTCTCTCACACCTGCACTAATAGTTACGCATTATCTAGGTAAAGTGATAATCATCCGTAGGTTTAATCCTATGTACACAGACTTTGGTTCCACTCTGGCTGTCTCTGTATTAACTCATAAGGTGACTGCTGATGGGAATTAACTAAAAAGCTTGATTCGGGCTGTATTTGTATATCCAGTTTCAAAGTCTAGAAAACAAATCACAAATCAAAAGGGGTTACCTGGGCTTCCGTATCCAAAGGTAATCTTTATCCCCAAACACTGTTAAGAATATTTTGAACAACAGAGTTATTCTTCCCATAGTTTCGATTCATGATCTTAGAAAAGTAAATGGGGATGGGAAGATGCCAGTCCTTGTCCATCCTGCTTAAGCAACCCAATGCAGAAAGGTCTTGTATATTTTTAAAAAGAGCATTGTCCTTTTATTCTAAAAGTTTATAATTTAATAACACTTATAACATGAAGGGGAAAAAAACACTTAATCTTTCCATTCTTGAGAATGGATTCCACAAGACCCTATTCTTGCTAGACATAAAAAGAAATGTTTGCTATACAGCAAATTACTGAGGTTACAGAAATCTCAAATGAACATTTCTTACTTCTTTCCCTCGGCATTTCTAAGACTATCAAGATAGAACAAGATGTGGAGTTTTGCTTTCAACAACTGAAAACTAGTTTATTCCATCATTGAGGGAAAAAGAAAAATGTTTTTAGTTTCAGCAGTACTTTCTTCTCATTCAGGATTCAGTCTCTTGCAGAAATTCTAACACTGACTTACAGACACACTGAATGTGCAGGAAGCAAAGGAGGAAGTATGAAAATAAAACTACACGTGGCATTTACAGCAGAGAGGATATATTACCGAAACTACAATGAGGATTGAAGGAGAGAAGCAAGATTTATGAGCTATTTAAAAATCATAAATGGTCACTAATTTGGCATTTTCATCTGGGCCAACCTGGAATTTTAGTAACATCTTGTGGGTTCAGGGGAGTATGGTGGAGACCAACCACTCCCACCATCATTTCTTGGGACAGGTGTGTTCTTAGAGGGACTACACCTGGCTATTAATACTTTGTGTTGTGTAAGTAATGAGGATTGCATAGGAGGGCTTCATAGGTCGTTTATAAATAAAAAGTCTGTAGTTTTTCCTAAAGAATTTTTCTAACCCAGCACAATTTTAATTAAGCACAGCTGTTTTTTTTTTTTTTGAGATAGAGTTTCGCTCTTGTCGCCCAGGCTGGAGTGCAATGGCGCGACCTTGGCTCACTGCAGCCTCCGCCCCCTGAGTTCAAGCAGTTCTCCTGCCTCAGCCTCCCAAGTAGCTGGGATTATAGGCGCCCACCGCCACACCCGGATAATTTTTTTTTTTTTGTATTTTTAGTAGAGACAGGGTTTCACTATGTTGGCCAGGCTGGTCCTGAACTCCTGGTCTTAGGTGATCTGCCCGCCTTGGCCTCCAAAAGTGCTGAGATTACAGGTGTGAGCCACCACGCCTGGCCACACAGCTGTTCTTAATTAAAGCCACTCTGTGACTAATCAGAAACTTATAGAATCACCCTATAAATTTTTGAAAGGAAAAGATACCATGAATGAGACTTTTGTCCAGTGAAAAAGTTGCAAATGTGACAAAAATACCCCAATTTAAGCAAAGTGTTTTAAGAAATGTAGTTAAGGAAATGCAACTTTTTCAAAAGATAACCCAGAATCAAACTGACTGTCAAAACAGAGACCAGGTTCAAAGTCCTTTGCATTAAAGTTTTGATAGGTATAGACATTTACAAATACTTCATACAAAGACACAAAAGGTGAGCACTCAGCGTGGAAGAGCAAAAGAGAGCATGCTTACTTGATCAGCATTCCTTGATTGGGTAGTAATTCCAGATGAATTTTCCCACCTTCCTGAGTTCTCAAGTAGGCAAATTCCTCCAGCATATCAATATCTGCAGGCCAGATTCAGGTTAACCACAGGTAAAAACAGGTGCCAGTTCTCTCTGATGAGGAAATGGGTTCCCGGCAGTTGAGTAACGTGCCCATTGCCACCCCACTAACTGCAGACTCTGTATTTGACCCCAGATTCCAAAACCTCATTCTTATACCCACCAAGCTCCCTTGCACAGATAACTCTTGGCAGGAGATGTGCCAGGCTAAAGGGCATGAGGGCAACATGTTTTCCATATCGATGATAATTAATACTACATGATCACAAGAGCGAAATCTTTTTGTTTTCTTAATAAGAAATGAAAGAGGTGGTGAGAGTAGGGAGGATTGTTTGGTGTTACAGAACATAAAATTCATAAAAATAAAGTGATGACTTCTTCATAGCTAGGGTGCAAGGATCTTTAGATGCATCAGAGGAGGAAGCGTCTGTGAGTCACCCAAATTTTATGCAGTATGTCAATGACATTCATGTATGCATTTTTCTAGTTATGTTCTAATTATGTAATTTTCTAATTACGTAATTTTCTAATTATGTAATTTTCATCAGATTCTCAAAAGATATCTGTCCCAAAAAAGGTTAAAAACTATTACTTTGGCCTGGCATGGTAGTGCACACCTGCAGTCCTAGCTACTCAGAAGGCTGAGGCAGGAGGGTCTCTTGAGCCCAGGAGTTTGAGACTGCAGTGAGCTACGATCGCACCACTACACTCCAGCCTGGGTGACACAGCAAGACCCTGACTCTAAAAAAACAAAATAAAAATAAAAACTATTGCCCTGAGCACCTGAACAAGAAGATCATTTATATTCCTTGTGATTCAGAAATAATGTAACAAGATAAGCAATGAAGTAAAAACACCCAAATTGATAACTAACCTTTAATTCAAAGATCTTTCTCTAATAAACAGTGTGAAATAAAAGCATTACCTAATGTCAGAAGCAGCTACTGTGCTTGCAGCATCTCTGGTGGGTACTCATTGGTAGGTAAGACAGTTGTGGCAGGGTGCCCTAACAAGTGATCAGAGGGCACAGCCACTGTCCCCAGAGGCCACAGAAGGCATTCTTTTGATAGATGGAAGAAGAGGAACTATTAGTATTATATTCCATGGCTAAACCAGGCAAGCCGGACCTATCAGCAACCTGTAGGCTATTACTGGAGGCATTTTGGCTACCTTCTGAGAAGTCAGCTAGCAGTGGAAAATGGAAGAAGGCGGTAAGATTCCCAATTCCTTGAATCACGTCTTTTACGACTTTCACAAGATCAACTGCCACAGCCCCGGTTTTAATCCCCATTCCTTCTCTTCGCTGCAAAATAGTAAAAATCATTATTTCTATCCGGAAGAATACGTTCTTTTTGTATCATGTATTCATTCTACAGAAAATCAGAATGTGTTATGCTTAAACAAGAAAAAAGGATACTTGTAACGTAATTGAAAAAATTCTCGTATTGGAAATTTCCTTGTTGGCAAATTTTATTGACAGCTTTCAGGAAAAGATTCTCGCCCCGTGGCCACTCTTGCTGAAGCAACACAATCACATGCCCCAATGCCATGTCGTCTCTGTTGTCTGTGAAAGCTCTGAGCTGCAAGACAAAGATTTATACAAGAGAGAAGGAAAGGGAAGTCACAGGGTAATCTGAAATACACCAAACATCACTTTCCAAAAACATGCTGTCTATGCAAATGTGTGATAAAGGTTATTAGAGTAAGAAGGAAACAAAGGCAAAACGAAATGGCTGGTAAACATCACAGCGGCCTTCTAAGGAAGGTGGATTCTAACCAAAGAAGCCTCAGGCTCCCTCTGGGCTGTGCACAGCCGCTGGCAGTGTGTGTAGGTGGGAGTCGGACATAGGTGGGCCTGAAGCTTTTGCATATGGGAATCAGGGGTAGAGAACTTTGACTGATCCTGTGTAACAGAGAAATAAATCTGGAGATTTCTTTGAAGGGGAGCAGATGGGAGCAGAAGGTGGGCAAGAGGCCATCTAGGAGAGAACTGTTTGCAGAGAACATGGGATTGGGGAGAAGGAAAGGCGATGAGCCATAAGGAAATAAGCAGAAGTGTGAACTAGAGAAATGGTCACAAGAGTTTTTGTTTCAAATGAGCGGTTATGCATAAAATCACACTTTAAATTATTTTTGTTGCCCTAAGTGAAATGGATGATGAGTTAAGTTTGGGAGTTACTGCACTGAAGTGGAGTGCCAGTGTTTTACTCTCTGGCCGACAAACCTTCTAGAAACAATGAAGCCTCCCTGCTCTAAGGCTGGGCTCTACCTGCAGCCAAGGGCCTTGGTGTTCTTTCAAGTCCTGGAACTTTCTCAACTGTTGGGCTGTTACTGGTGTTTATCTCTACGCCTAACGTGCTTCATCTAGCACGTCTTTACAATGACAAACTCATTATCCCTCCGTGAACCCAACCGCAATTTGTATTCCCTTTCTTTGTAGCTAATGTATTTATATTGATAAAATATTTACCAAACACTACAACAGTCAAGGTTATTTGCATATCTGTCCTACTATTACACTTTTCGAGGACGGGGAGAACTTCTGACTTCTCTTTGCCTAGCGCAGTCATTATTTAATAAAGATTTGTTAATTACTAGCCCATGTGCTTTTCTAACTGTTTGGGCCGCTCTGGAAAGTACTAAAATAACAATCCTTAACAAGGCTCTCAAGTTCTCAAGTCATGAGAATAATATTTGAAATTAAATTTTTTTCAAGCTAATCAACTTTGAGCTTACCTTAAAACAGGCTAACATTAAATGCAGGCAGTATGGCATGATAGCCTTGCTGGTACATGGCAGGAGCTTGAGATCCGAACCTAACAGAAGTCCACAATTTTAGGTTAATGCACATTATGATCAGAGAAAACAGCTTTGAAAAGCAACTGTTTAAGATGCTTTCTTTAAATAAAAAAAAAAAAAACAAAAACAAAGAATATGCAACAGTCATACGATTTCAAATATAGTTGAAACACAATTATACTTTGTGATGGTGAAACTGGCTTTTGATGGTCTCTGGATTTCATTTATCAATATTCTTTCCTAAACTTGCTTCAATACTTTTTATGAGAAAACATTTCAAATATACAGCAAATTATATACAGAGAATATGATACACACTGGTGTGCTCACCACTCAGCTTCAAGAAATGGTAATATTTTAATTTTAAACATTTCTAATATCAATAATCACAAAATCAGTTAAAGCCTATTGTGTATCCTTCTCTGACCCCATTCTCTCCATCCCAGAGGTAGCCATACTTCTGAAGGCAGTGGTTGTCATTCCTATGACTGTTACACACATAGGAAACAATGGATTGTCCTGTGTGCTTTCGGTCTACTGTATAAATGGTGTCATTTTGTATGTATCCTTCTGCAAATTGCTTTTTTACTGAACTTCATGTGGTTCAGGTTTATTAACTGATCAATATCAATACATGTAGCTCCAGTTCATTCATTTTCAGTGTTATATAGTATTCTGTTGTCTACATATGCCGTAATTGATGCATCCATTCTTTTTACAGTGGATATTGACATTTCCAATTTTTCACTATTCCAATGATAAATATACATTCTTACATATTCTCATACATTTGTGGAAATAACTTTAAGCAACAGCTTTCAAAGCAAGATCCCGATCTTCCCTTTTTGGTCTGTGTTCTGTATGTCTGTTATCTTTCTCTGCTCAGAGGCAAGATAGCAAGAAATAAATATATTTTTTCACATGGGATCCTTTACACACGTACTTACATAATGTGATATATCCAAAACAAAAGGTGCATGAAATAATAGTCTCTCTTCTTATCTGAGATGTCTTTTAAAAATATTATTAAATTCTATCTCATTAAAAAAGAAAATTTCTGGTTGAAACTCACGACCCAGTAAATGAAGACTCATAGCTTGAAAAACACTAATCTAAGGTAACAACTAGGAGGTGAGGTACATTTAATAATTAGGTAATGACATGTTCAACTTGGTTATGTGAAGTTGGTTTCCAGAATGGTTGCATGACTTTACACCCCTCCCAGAAGCACCTGGCACTGTGTTCCTTCACATCCTAACAGTCATTGCCTCTTCAGTTTTTGCATTCTGATGTGTGTGAAATGGTAGCTTATTGTTTTATTCAGAATTGCCCATATGACAAAAGGCTGAGAATCTTTCCAAACAGTTTTTGGCCATGTGGATTTCTGCTCCTCTGAATCTGTTGTTCCTGTCCTTTGCCTGTTTTTCTATGGGGATTGGATAATTGCTTCCTATTGGTCTGGAGGAGCTCTTTCAAAACTCTGGATACTAAGTTTTTGCTGATTTTGTGTGATAGACAATTTTCTGGCAATCTGTGGCTTATCTTTTCACTTTGATTGTAATAGCCTTTATTAGTATTTTAATTTTAATGTGATCAAATTTACTAATCTTTCTATTTTTAAATTTTCTTCTAAAAGTTTAGAAGTTTTGGAGTTTTTGCTGTCACACTTCAACCTTAAAATTTACAGGATGTCTATGTAGTGTGAAGGAGGGGATCTCAATTTTTTATTGTCGTTTTTTACATTTGAATAAAAAATTGTTCTAGTACCACTTACTGAATAAATTCATTCTTCCCTCACTGAATTTTAATGTCATCTATTTCTCAGTTTTCTATGCTGTTCCACTGGTCAACCCCTGTGTCATTGCTACCCTATCTTAATTACTAAAGCTTTAAAATAAGTCTTGAAGTCAGCTAGGTCAGTCTTATCCACCTAATCAGTTTCTGGAAGGTATATAAAGTCATGCAACCACTCTGGAAGCTAACTTAGCATTACCAAGTTGAACATGTCGTTACCTAATTATATACCTTGCCTCCTAGTTGTACACCTTAGTGTTTCTCAAGCTGTGAGTCTTCATCTACAGGGTCATGAGTTTCAACCAGAAACTTTCTGTTCTGCAGAAATACTTAATTTTTGAAGAAGTCTGGGCTAGATTTTTTTTTTTTTTAAACAATTTGTTGTAGAAAACTTCAAACATACACAAAGTAATCTGCTCCAGCACCACTGGTTGAAAAGTCTTTCCTTTCCCTATTGAATTACTTTGATGCCTTCACTGAAAATCATTTGATCAAATCTATGCAGGTCTATTTCTGGATTCTCCATTCCTATGTCAATATTTTGTCAACTCTGTCTTGATTATTATGCTTGTATATTAAGTCTTGTTATTATGTAGTATAAGTCACTTAGGTGTGTCTTTTTTAAAACTTTTGACTATTCTAGATTATATAGTATTTCCACTTACATTTTAGAATCACTTTGTGAACTTCTAGCAAAAAACCTCCAAAAACCATAAAGTCTACCGTAATTTTGGTTGAAATTGCATTGAATCTACAGATACATTTGGGGAGAAATGGCACCATAATAATATTGAATCTTCTGATCTGGAAACATGATCTGTCCATTTTCAAAAATCTTTAATTTTTCCCAGAAATATTTTGTGATATTCAAAGTGGAGGTTTTGCATATCTTCCATTAAATTTACCTCTAAGAATTTCATGTTTTTATGATGCTATTAGAAACAGTATCTTAAAAAATTCATTTTGTAATTGCTTATTAATAACATACAAATTGAATTGATTTTTTATACACTAAAATGTCTTGGAACTTTTATTTTTTTTGAGACAGGCTCTCACTGTGTCGCCTAGGCTGGAGCGCAGTGGTGTAATCTTGGCTCACTGAAACCTCCACCTCCCAGATTCAAGTGATTCTCCCACCTCAACCTCCTGAGTAACTGGGATTAAAGGCGTGTGCCACTACACCTGGCTTATTTTTGTGTTTTTAGTAGAAATGGGGTTTCACCATGTTGGCCAGGCTTATCTCAAACTCCTAGCCTCAAGTGGTCCACCTGCCTCGGCCTCCCAAAGTGTTGGGATTAGAGGCGTGAGCCACTGTGCCCAGCCTTGGGAATTTGTGGAGATTCCCTCAAGTTTTCTACACAGCCAAATATGTAACTATGTTAGTTTTTTTGTTTTTGTTTTTTGAGACAGAGAAATCTTTCTCTGTCGCCCAGGCTGGAGTGCAGTGACGCAATCATAGCTCACCACAGCCTTGACCTCCTGAGCTCAAGCGATCCTCCTGCCTCAGCCTCTAGAGTAGCTGGAACTACAGGTTCACACCACTAAGTCTGGCTGATTTTTAAATGTTTTGTAGAGATGGGATCTCACTTTGTTGCCCACGCTGGTTTGGGCTCCTGGGCTCAAGCAATCCTCCTGCCTCAGCCTCTTAAAGTGCTGGGATTACAGGCATCAGCCACCATGCCTGGCCAAAATATGTAACTGTGAATAAAGGTAGTCGTATTTGTCAAATCTTTATGCCTTTATTCACTTTTCCTGCCTGCTGTACTGCCTAGAATCTCCAGATTATTGAACAGAAGTGGTGAGGGCAGACATCCTTGTATTGTTTCTAATCTTAGTGGGGGAAAGCATTCAATATTTCATGGTTAAGTTTGATGTTAAAAAATAGTTTCCTTCTATTCCTAGTTTGCTAAGATTTTTGTTATCCTGAAGTGATATTGAATTCTGTATGCATCTATTAACACAGTCATGATTTTCTCCTTCTATCTGCCAATGGAGTGAATTACACGATTTTTTTGTTTGTTTGTTTGTTTTTGTTTTTTTTTAAGACAGAGTCTCGCTCTGTAGCCCAGGCTGGAGTGTAGTGGTGCAATCTCAGTTCACTGCAACCTTCACCTCCCAGATTCAAGCGATTCCCGTGCCTCAGCCCCCAGAGTAGCTGGGATTACAGGCGCCTGCCACCATGCCCGTCTACTTTTTTGTATTTCTTAGTAGAGATGGGGTTCCACCACATTAGCCAGGATGGTCTCGATCTCCTGACCTCGTGATCCTCCCAACTCGGCCTCCCAACGTGCTGTGATTACAGGCATGTGCCAACGCGCCCGGCCGCTGATTTCTGTATGTTCAAATGCCTATGCATTCCTAGTATACTTGGTCATAATAGATTGTCCTTCTATATTGCTGTATTCAGTTTGCTAATATTTTGTTAATGATTTGACACCTATTATAGTTCATGATGGATTCTGGCCTTTCAAGTTCTTCTCTTGTGATACTCTTGTTTGGTTTTACTATCAGGGTTACTGTGTCAGCCTTTAAAAATGAATTGGGACTCTTCCTCTATTTTCTGATAAGAGTTTGTGTAGAATTGGCACTATTTCTTCCGAAATTCTTGATAGAATTCACCAGTGAAGCCATTTGAACCTGAATTCTTTGTGGAAGGTTTTTGATAACAAATTTAATTTCTTTAATAGCTAAGGGAACATTCTGATTTTTCTTTCTTTCTTTCTTTCTTTCTTTTCTTTTTTTCTTCCAGAGTCTGGTTGTGTTGCCCAGGCTAGAGTGCAGTGGTGTGATTTCGGCTCATTGCAACCTCTGCCTCTCAGGTTCAAATGCTTCTCCTACCTCAGCCTCCTGAGTAGCTGAGACTACAGGTGTGTACCACCACCTCTGGCTAATTTTTATATTTTTAGTAGAGATGGGGTTTCACCATGTTGCCCACACTGGTCTCGAACTTCTAGGCTCAAATGATCTACCCTCCTTGGCTTCCCAAAATGCTGGGATTACAGGCATGAGCCACCATTCCTGGCAGAACATTCTGATTTTCTATTTCTTTTTTGTGTCAATTTAGGTAAATTGTGTTTAAGAAACTTTTTCATTTCATTCAAGTTGTTGAATTTATTGGTATAAAGTTTTTCATAATGTATTCTTTTACTGTCCTTTTGATTGCAGTAGGATTTGTAGTGACATTCCCTTTTTCATTTCTGATATTGGTAATTTATGTTCACCTTCCTTCTGATCGATCTTGTTAGGGGGTTATCAGTTTTATAATATTTTTCAAAGAAAACTTCTAGTTTTATTAATGTTCTCTATTTCATTGATTTCTGCTCTTAGCATTATTCTTTCCTGTCATCTATTTTCTTCAGGTTCAATTTATGTATCTTTTTCCAACTTTTTCTTCAGGTTTAATTTATGAATCTTTTTCTAAGCAACTTAGATCAGTTGTACGTTTCATTTTTCAAGCAACATGAAGCTTGAGCTGAAGCTCAGAGTGGTTTCAGAGGGATGTGCTGACAGATACCTCCTCATTAATCATCTACACATTTTTCTAGAATTGTAAAGATAGGAAAAGAGAGTTCACTGAAATTTGTCAAAGAGATAAAAAACTCAGGAAGTGAAGAGAGCTTTGGAAGAAAGACATTTACAGCTGCTCATGAAATCAGAGCCAAGGAAAAACGTGGAAAGGGATTAACGTTTTATACAATTTGGCAAGCCCTGCAGCAGTATTATCTCATTAGGAACTGTAAAACATTGTTCAGCCTTGGGTCCTAAAACTATTTTTCTTTTCTTTTTAAATTTTTTTAAGAGATGGGGTCTCACTACGTTGCCCAGGCTGGTCTCAAACTCCTGGTCTCAAGCTATCCTCTCGCCTTGACTTCTGAATAGCTGAGATTACAAGTGTGAGCCACCGTGCCTGGCTTTCTAAAGCTATTTTTACAAAATAATAATAAAACATGTCACTGTACCTTTTCTGAATTTGGGCTTTACTTTTGAGGGTTCCTCCTGGGATTTGCCTCCATCTTGAATGGGTAGTACCATGTAGCACATCAGATCAAGGACTTTTTCACATGTCATCTAAAGCGGAAAAGACCAAAAAGGAACTAACTTGAAGCTTTCTGAACTGAAATCAAATAAACAAAGGACCAAAATATTTGCAGCATACAATCAGGCAGTGTGTCCATGGAGGTCTGTATTTCTGCCTCTTTATGTGATCATTACCACTGCTCAGCAGTCAATACAGAAAGAGTAAACAATAAGACTCAAATCTATGTACTAGACCTTTGAGGGAACAATAACCCATTCTTTGCTATTAAAAAACAAAACTTAAAAATTAACCAAGCATTAAATACTGAGGTGTTCAACAGCATTACAGCAGCCAAAAGAAAGATGTCCCTGCCTGAAAGATACTAACTCACTGCATAGAAAAACTAACCCAGAAAACATGTAGCAGAGGTCTAAGGGGTATGATAGACAGCATAAGTTAAAATGCAGGAGAAAATACACACAGGAGAAACTAGCAGGAAAAGCTTCAGGCAGGAAGGTTATCTTGACCTAAGCCTTAAATAGAGGATTTGGAATGCAGAAAGGAGGCCTTTCAAGCAGGAGAGAAAGACACGGGGAAGGGCTATGTGTGGGTTCAGGTGATTTACTTGAGGGCCAGAGGTTTGGTCTAGGACAGAGATGAGACACTGGACGGATGCGGTGCTAGTGGAGAGGAGCCTCGAGTGCCTCTGTGCAGGCTGGCCTTGATCCAGACAGTCCGCATCACCGTTCCCCCTCTATCCACTCAAATTCTCCTAACAACAATCAGATTCCATGCAGTGAGTCTTCTATCTGTGTCAAGCAAACCCTTTTGTTCTCTATTTTCCAGAGGAGGAAGTGGAGCTTTTTTTGTTTTGTTTTGTTTTATGCAAAAGGCCAGAGACATCTTTGGGTCTCTGGGTAATTTTTTTTTTTAATTTTAAGTTCTGGGATACGTGTGCCGGACGTGTAGATTTGTTACGTATATATGTGTCTTGGTGGGCCGGGCGCGGTGGCTCAAGCCTGTAATCCCAGCACTTTGGGAGGCCGAGACGGGCGGATCCCGAGGTCAGGAGATCGAGACCATCCTGACTAACATGGTGAAACCCCGTCTCTACTAAAAAATACACAAAACTGGCTGGGCGTGGTGGCGGGCGCCTGTAGTTCCAGCTACTCGGGAGGCTGAGGCAGGAGAATGGCATAAACCCAGGAGACGGAGCTTGCAGTGAGCTGAGATCCGGCCACTGCACTCCAGCCTGGGCAACAGAGCGAGACTCTGTCTCAAAAAAAAATAAATAAATAAAAATATGTGTCTTGGTGGTTTGCTGCACCCATCAACCCATCATCTAGGTTTTAAGTCCTGCATGCATTAGGTATTTGTCCTAACGCTCTCCCTCTCCTTGCCCCCGACCCCCTGACAGGCCCTAGTGTGTGATGTTCCCCTCCCTGTGTCCAAGTGTTCTCACTGTTGAACTCTCAGAAGTGGGGATTTAAACCCATGCTTCCCAACCCTTTTCATGTTGTGGCATACCCTGAAAGTAATTTGTGTGTGGCTGTTCAGGGTTGGCAGCAATTGACTTTGGGTGGCCCCAGCAGCCCTAGGTCATGGCTGACTGCCCCAAAGGCTGCAGGATCCATATATTGGCACCTCTAGAACCCACCTAGGCCCACAGGGTTGTGAAGCTCTAGTTTAGAGAGATGGGCAGCCTGGTAGTTGAAAAGTTGAACTCTAGAGTTGGATAGGCCCGAGTAAGGTAACCTGCCAATGTCACAGAGCTGGCCAGGACTTGTACTCCAGAGCTATGAGCTGCCATCCTTCGATGCCCATCTCCAGCCAATCTTTTCTATAAATCTTTCCTTGACTCTTTGGACCCAACAAAGAAAATGCCCTTCCCCGAATGTCTATTGTGTCTATGACTGAGGACTACCAACTAATATTTGATTTTTTTCATTGTCTTATACAAATACACTTTTTTCCCTAACTCAAACCATATGGCCCTGAATGCAGGGATCCCATATTCCCCACACCCTGCTTCTACTCCCCAGCCAACAGCAGGGTTCAACACTGGGCACCAAGAAAGCCAACACTTCAATTAAGTGGAATGATGAAAGCAGTATTTTAGAAAGCAGTGACCATAATTTTATAGGGTTGGAAAAAGGGTCATAGGCCAAAAACTTAGTTAAAAGGCATGGATTTGGGTGGTGACAATAGAAATACAAGGTAATATAGCAAAGAGATTATTATCACACTGGAAGAATCAAAAGGATTTGCTAGAGTAGGAGTCCACAAAGACTTGAAAGTTTTGTGTCTAAGGGCCAGTACTATGGTCTGAATGTCTATGTTCCCACCGAAATTTGTAAGTTGAAACCTAACCCCCAATGTGAGGGCATCAGGAGGGAGAGCCTTTGGGAGGTGAGTGGATGATGAGAGCAAAACCCTCATGAATGGGATTTGTGCCCTTATCAGAGAGATTCTCGAGTGCGCTCTTGTCCCTTCTATGAACTAGCAAATGGGACCTCACCAGACACTGAATCTGCTGACGCCTTGACCTCGCACTTCCCAGCCTCCAGAACTATGAGAAATAAACTCCTTTTGTTTACAAGCCTCCCACTTTTTGGTATTTGGTTATAGCAACCCAAGCAGACTAAGACAGCCAGAGAACTAAGGACACTTACATCTGGACATATTGAGTCTGGGCTAAAGACACGAAGGCAGGAAGTCCGACATTACCCATAGGTCTAATAGTGATAAACTCAGAGGCTGGAACTAAGCCCTCAAAGGGAATGAGTCTGTCTTGTTTAATCTAGACCAGTCTGTCTTGTTTAGTAGTTTATATTGCCTACTACAATGAAGTAGTAGGCGGTATAGCTAATTCTACGTGAGATACGTATGTCGGTGTAAATACGTGCTGCCTTTTAAGTTCTTAAAAGGAGTTAATTAAAACTTAGAGTTAAGTAACTGATGGATAATTATATAAATAATGGTGGAAAAGCATTTTCAATTTTGAATGCTCTACACATTCTCCAACTGTTCCTTTCTAAAGATCATCAGGACAAATTAATAATCATATTTCAGAGTTCAAGTTACAAAAAATTTAGGGTTTATAATCACAAAGTGATCAACAACATCTAGAGAGGTGAGAAGAAATCAGTTTGTTGTGTTATGCTGTGGCCTTGAGTTTATACAGTCCTTGAATACACAACAACGTGGTTATCATTTTAATTGAATTCCAACACTTATTGTACTGTGGTAGGTGTCATGAGAGTCCAAAGATAAAAACACAGTCACCACCCTGTAGTAGGAAGGGCTCAAAACCTCCTGGAGGAAACACACTCATTTATAACTCTGCTCCTGCAATACCCCTATCAGGTGTTATCACCATTTATTTTATTTATTTATTTTTTTTGAGACAGAGTCTCGCTCTGTCGCCCAGGCTGGAGTGCAGTGGTGCAATCTTGGCTCACTGCAACCTCTTCCTCCCAGGTTCAAGTGATTCTCCTGCTTCAGCCTCCCAAGTAGATGGCATTACAGGTGCCCGCCACTACACCCAACTCATTTTTGTATTTTAATAGAGACGGGGTTTCACCACGTTGGCCAGGCTGGTCTCGAACTCCTGACCTCAGGTGATCTGCCAGCCTCAGCCTCCCAAAGTCCTGGGATTATAGGCATGAGCCACCGCGCCTGGCATGTTATTACCATATAAAGAGAGAATCTGAGATTTGAGTAAGCTAAATATAAATCTTCCATTTCCCACTTAATAATGGCCTTGTTTTTCCAAGTACAATGGAACAGGCAAGAGTGTAATAATAATAAAAAGAAAAATAATAAAAAGAAAAATCCTCCAACAAATGGAACAATGAACAAGAAACTTAAAACGTACTGATGCCTTATTTCAGGGAAGCTGTGGTAAAGAGAAAATTAAGTAAAACAAAATCATTGTGATATTCACTAGCAGATTAAGTAGTAAGTCTAGGCAGAATGATCAAATTGAAACAAACGTGCACTGAATGAAAAGCCACGCTAGGAAAGGAGAAAGCCCAGGTGGCCCCGTGTACCTGCAGCCAGCATGTGTGCAGTACTCACCCTGTACTCCCCTAGCGCAAAGTGGCACGTTGCCAGCTGGATGAGTGCCCTCTGATGCTCCAGGGTCCCCTGCCCTGTGATCTGTGGCTGAGAAATGGATCCCTGGAGAGCTGCTAAGTGATGCAGGCTGGCTATCGCCTTTTTATATTGACCCTAAGAAAGATGGAATAGAAAGGAGGGGAAAAACATCGCCATTAAAAAAATAAATTTAAAAAATGCCCTTAACAGAGTTCATGAAGCAACGAACAAGCAACTTACAAAGATGGTAGCTTGGTTCCCTCATCTGAGGAAGAAATGGAGACTTGGCAATAGAACCAAATCAACTTAATTAAAGCCAGGTGAGAGTTCTTTATGGCGGTACTTTATAAGGATGGAGATTTTTCTTTCTGGTCTTAGGTCTTAAGACTAAAGAAAATAACCAAGCCCTTTGACCCAGCACATTCTGGATATAACATTTCTTTAGAAATATTTCACTACAAGCACCACTTTATGAAGGATGGAAGCAGCAACCTGCCCATTCCAACAACACCTCATTCGTGAATTATCGACTCTCTCGGTTCTAGGTCTAAGATGCTGGAGAACAGTACAGCCAGGCAGACTCCACCAGCAGAGAGAGAAGGAGGGTGAGAAGTAATCCTCTTTTACCGAAAAGTAACAGAGAGGTGTGATTGGATATACCAAAAGTAACACAGAAGGTACAGGCTTGTCATTTTGAAGTGTTTGTTTCGTTTTCTTTTTGATATAAGGTCTCACTGTCACCCAGGCCAGAGTGCAGTGATGCTATCATAGCTCAATGCAGTCTTGACTTCCTGGGCTCAAGTGATCCTCCCGCCTCAGCCTCCTGAGTAGCTGGAACTATAGGCACATGCCACCACACTTGGCTAAGTTTTTTATTTTGTAGAGACAGGGTCTCACTATGCTGCCAGGACTGGTCTTGAACTCCTGGGCTCAAGCAATCCTCCCACCTCGACCTCCCAAAGTGCTGGGATTGCAGGCGTGAGCCACGGCACCCGGCCCAGAGTTGTTTTGAAAGGAAAATGGACCATACCCCCTCAGCCACTGAAGACAGAACAGGTGTCAGCAGGCAGTAGACTAGCCCAAGAGGGAACATGACGCATTCTGCAAGGGAAAGCTGGTTTGCCACCATAGCCATCCTGTACAGACACAGGTACCTAAAATATGTGTAATAAGCTACCTGATAGATGATCATATCGGTGAGGAAGATTCTTAACCAAAGCCAAGTATCCGTCTTCCAGGCCAAGCAAATCCTTGTAAATTCTGAGTGAGAAGTCAAGAACAAATTTACCAAATATATGTAGCGCAGACGCAGAAAACAAACAAATCCAGTAAGAGAACAGAGACAAACTACCAAAAATGCATAGCAAGTTTGACTTTGATTTCTAAAATACTGCTCTAGAATTTCAAGTAGAGAAGAAACACACAACACTTATCAGTAATACACAAGCAATATTTTGCAGACGCTAACAACTTACTGAGCACATACCAGGTACCAAGAACTATTTAACGTGCTTTTCATGTATTTTCTCATTTATCTTTTAAACTACTTTGCTTTCCCCAAAACAAGGTCCCATTTTATTTTTATTTTATCTTATTTTTAGAGACATTCTCCCTGTCGCCCAGGCTGATAGTACAGTGGCCCTAACATGGGTCACTGCAGCCTCGACCTTCCGGGCTCAAGCAGTCCTCCTACCTCAGCCTCCTGAATAGCTAGGATTACAGGCACATGCCACCATACTTGGCCAATTTTTGTTTTTGTTTTTGTTTTTTTATAGAGACGGGTTTTTGCCATATTGCCCAGGTTGGTCTCTGACTCCTGAGCTCAAATCCACCTGCCTCAGCTTCCCAAAGCGCTGGGATTACAGGCATGAGCCATCTTGCCTGGCCCATTTTATTTTGACCTAATTAAAATAACAAACATACAATGACACTAAAAGGTTTTATTCATTTTTTAAAAAATCAATTTCTAACTAAAGGAAAGATCCCCTCTAGAATTGTCACATATGTGTTCACAATCCCACATGTAACAAAGAGAAACTGAACAGTGCTAAGTTTACTTAGAAAAGATGACACAGCACATCTGGCCAAGGGCTCTGTATGACACATGACTGCAGCCAGGGGATGAATGTCCACGGGCTAAAAGTAAAATAAGGGGCCCCGATTCCAGAGTGTAGTAAGAATACCTTAGTTAGCAAACAGTTAGTGATTTCTAAGCAATGTCAAAATACCCAGCATACTCAAAGGAAAATAGGCTTCCTATAGTTTTTGGATTTTGAGTTTTTCAAGACAATGGAGTTAATGCAGATAAAAACAGCAATATGGCCAGGCATGGTGGCTCATGCCTGTAATCTCAGCAGTTTGGGAGGCTGAGGCAGGCAGATTACGTGGTCAGGAGTTTAAGAACAGTCTGATCAACATAGAGAAACCCCGTCTCTACTAAAAATACAAAAAATTAGCCAGGCATGGTGGCACACACCTGTAATCCCAGCTACTAGGGAGGCTGAGGCAGGAGAATTGTTTGAACCCAGGAGGCGCAGGTTGAGGTGAGCCAAGATCACGCCATTGTACTCCGGCCTGGGTGAAAAAGAGTGAGACTCCATCTCAAAACAAGAAAAAAAAAAAAAATGCATGAACTACTATAATCAACTTAATTTGCCATGAGTGACCTGATATTTCAAGTAGCATAATGATTTTATATAAAACATTAAACAGCACCAATGACATGTGCTTTCTTACCTTTGTCAAGGAATTCTAGGGAATAGAGCAACTCCCAGCTCTCCCTGGCCAATTTAAAGCTTTCTAACACTTCAATGGAGTTAGCAAGTTCGGCTTTATTGACTACAATGTGACGATTTCTTCCTTTCGCCGAACAGTCTTCATCGTCTGAACTCTGCTTAAAGAATGTGGAGAACGTGGTTAATTCAGTTATAAATATAGTCATATATGGAACCATATTATTGCTGCCAGTTTTGCCCATGATATGAATTTTATATCAAAGGATACCACATACATACAATTTTTTTGAATTTAACAATTTAGCTTTGAAAATTAATTTTTTTTT